CTTCAATTCTGTCTCTTTGGCTTAAAAGACGTGTCGATAATGTTATAATTATAAGTTGTTGTTCGATCAGTGCGTTTTACATTTTATAGGATGAATTTCATTAAATAATTTTTATAGTCTGAAGCAATACAAACACGAATTAACCTATATACAATGTATAGCTATTTCGTTATTTTCATCGAGTGGACAAATATAAGAAATAACAACATTTTTCTTTTTCTCCAAAATCTAAGTTCAAAAGGCACTGGCAGTATAATATATATGTTTTGCAAACGGAAATCATATCGTTTGTGTGGTCTTTTATAATCTTTTTTCAAAGCTACGGACCAACGACAGTATTCTGAAAGATTTATTTATCGATATAGCTGTATGCCTTGTACATGATATGTTTAATCATTTTCTGGGTGGTCATGTCATAAACATATTTAAGTGTCAAAATGGTAGTTAGTGGCGACTACATTAGCTGATAAATGTAAAATCAACCCTTGACAACATTCTGTATAACAAAACCTCTTTAAACTCATTACACAATAATAAAAAAAATAGATTGCCTAATACAAATGTTCCGTTAATTATATGACATTTTCATTGTGATAAGCAATAAAAATAACGCCGTTTTGAATGCAGACCAGCGTATTATGTGATTTTTCTGACAGTACGGTTCATATTCTTGAATGCTGTATATGACATTGTTTGAAAAATAAGAGATATTATAGATGAAACGAACAAAAGACAAAAAAAAACATTATACAAAACACAATATAGAAAACTAAGGACTGAGCAACACGAACTCCACCAAAAACCGAGGGTGATCATTTTAACATTAAAGTGAGGAACACGTTGACTTGAAGGGTGTATTTTTTTTTATTAACTTTTGTCGCCTTATATTGTAAAACCATATTTTTGTATGAAAGTTAAGAATTTTTCTAATCAGCAAATGGATGAAATAAAATCCAGTGTACAATACGATTTTACATATCAAAATTTGGCATATGAGTTAAGGTTGTCGAAAGAGAAAATAAAGTTCTCAATGGTGTAATGATTGCTCCTGAAGCAAGTCACTGACAAGTTTGAAAATTTTGTCATCTTTCCAAGGAGTTTTAGTTAATATTCAGCAAAATCTGTGCATTGATTATTGATATTGTTTCCATATTATTTTAGAACCGTTGCACTGCTTTTGACATTTTTATACAAATTTTTTGAAACAGCTGTTTACTTACTATTACAGTTAAATCTGTTATTCCGGTCTAAAAAAATATACATTATAAGTTTCTGATCTCGCATGGTTTAAATAAAAAAAAACGATATAAAAATCAATTATGTTATCGAAAAACATGTACGAATTGGACAATTTGGTACATAACAAAGGGCTGTATTGTTTATGCTATTATTATGCCATATACGCACTAATGTTCATATTTTTATACCCTGCCGCTAGGTGAAGGGGTATTAAGTGTTACCCTTGACCGTCTTTCCTTCCGTCCGTCCCATTTTCGTTTTCGAAAACAGAGTTCAAATTTGGGCAGTAAACATTTTCCGTTCTAGAGTTATGCCCCTTTATATCTTGGAAAATTGCAAATTTATCTGTTTCCGCACCCTCATTTAAGTTTGGCTCATCCTCAGACACATTCTTCTTTTATTTAAGAGTGACATAATAGCCATTGTAGAGTTATTAGAACATATTGGTACTATGTAAAAATGTGTACCAACTGAATACCACTTTTGTCAAGTCTCCAGTGAAAGGAGATGAAAGTGTAAAACTTAAATGTATTTCCTTGTGTTTGTATCACTCACATGATCAACGTAGAACTTTGATGAAACTTAGTGTAAAGGTATATAACAGAGTCTTAATAATATGCTTAACTATTTTCGAAAACTTAACGCGTACATGTATCACTAAAATCGGAGTTTTATGCTGTGTTTTACATGGCTATCGGAGACAAGTAATACTACATAATTGCAAAGGGGAGGGAATAAGGACGCCACTTTTTCCTTCACGTGAATTCAAAAATTAACAACGGCCAGTCTTTAATAAACGTCGGTTCTTTGGAAACAAATCTATATTATTGACAAATACATTTGGAATATATTGTTGGAAATCTAAGCATGCAACTTACTGAAGATACCACCTTCAGGAAATTATTTTGTGATGATAAAAATGTTAATAGAAAAACACAAATTGCATAAAAAAAAAAGTTAAACATTTAATGTATTACGTAATTGGCTGTATATGTTTTACAGCTGTTTGTATTGTAACGTTGTGTAATACAAATTATATAAATAGCATGTCTCACTATCAGTGTCTGCTTTATTCCATTACAATGCCATAACGTCAAGTTTATTTTTTTCTATGTATATTGTGTCAGGCGTATTTAACCTGGTTTGCAATGAAGCATTTATTTTAGTATCCAAGTTTCCCTGTCAAAACTATTAGTTTTATACTTCCGCTGCAATATCTAATATATATGTCGACCTGTCTGTCAGTCCGTCCATTCTGTGTTCGTCTGTCTGTTTCATGCTTTCTTTTAAAGGTTTTTTCTTTCTTTATAGTTTTCAATTTGCAGTGGCAGTAAAAAGATAAATTGATTTGTGGTTGCTTAGCGTCCAGTGGCAATTGTGTTATGTGTATCCAGGACGGCGAACTATTAACTCAGTAAAAAGGACATTAAGAAGCATACGGAATATACTTTATAAAGATAAGAAGATGTGATATGATTACCAATGAGACAAGTCTCCACCAGAGATCTTATGACGTAGAAGTTATCAACTATAGGTCACCGTGCGGTCTTCAATAATGAGCAAAACCCATACCACATATAGCAAGTTATAAACATGTACGTTCTCACTTCACATTAGAGAAGTTCGGAGAGGTGCCATAAGAATTGGAACGCTTTTATTATGGGCGATAGATCATTTATCTTTTAGTTGAGATTTTGTTTGGTTAACGGGAAATAACCCAATTTAAAATGTGTTCAATCACTACTTGGATATCGTTAATTATTTCAGGATTATCCTTTTTAAATTAATTAAGTTTATAAGTCTCTAATAAGTATTCCCTTTCTTCCCGGAAAGGCGTCCAGTAGTAAAAATCCAAGTTAAAATCAGGATAAACATGTTTAACCCAGCTACTTGTATGTGCCTGTCCAAAGGAAGGAACCTGTAATTCAGTAGTTGTCGTTTGTAGCTGTATATCACATTTGTTTTTCTTTGTTGTTTTGTACTTAAGTCAGGCCGTTGTTTTTCTAGTTTGAATTGCTTTACATTTTGTCATGTGGGGGCCTTTAATGGCTTGTTATGCGGTATATGTTTTGCTAAATGTTCGTTAATAAAAAAAACTATAAATGAAGTTGCAGATGCTTCCCTTCAAACATATATTACATAAGTTCTAAAATTTAGCTAAGTCATAGCCTTTCATTGCCTAAACGTGTTTTTTTTTCTTCTTTAATAAGACCAAAAGGAATTCCAACCATTCTTACATCTTATCCAATGTAAAATCTGGGATCCCTCTTCTATTTTTGGCACAGCAAGGCTGTCGACTTATTACAAACAGCTATTCTTTTTATTTGTTAAAGATAGATACAGTTCCACTTGTATTTGTCAATTTCTGACTGTCAAAACATTTACCCTAATGCGTTCCAAATGTAGATTTTCAATAAATGCGAATCAAAGGTCGACACTACTTGTAGACAGATTGTATCATCTAGAAACTAGTGTCTCTGAATTGGCCAGGATGTATTACCTAGATGTTATTCTCAGCTGATGCATTTTGACGATTTTACAAAAACTTTTGTTTTCTTTGAAGAAAAATGTAGACAGAATTATAAAATGTTATTTAATATTAAGGTAGTATTTATATATAAGTATTACAAAGTGTGATTTACGTCTGACAGGTCAAATGTTTCATGAATTTTCAAGACGATTCTGTGACTTAGTTTTGTGTAAGAATATACACGGACTTTTTGTGTTGTTTGCGTCAAACAGTTTTTATTTATATAACAAGAGTTAGTCAACTAATAAAATTGAGAATGGAAATGGGGAATGTGTCAAAGAGACAACAACCCGACCAAAGAGCAGAAAACAATGTTCGTAGTATTATTCTTTAGAATGTATAATTTTTATTTAAACAAGGAACTGTTGTGTATTTCATATCAGTCTTGTGCATTCTTGTCTGGTTTGACTTGGATCGTGTTTTTATGATCATTCAGTAACCGTAACACAACAATAATTCGGTAAACATATATTCATCCAGTGACAACAACTTGGCATGATCGTCATGAACTCCTTTGTTAGTCTTGCTACTTTAACCACACAGTTTATGAGCGATTCATTTACGATTTCCCCTACTTTTGCATATAATCATGCGTCTTAGAGGTAGGGCCAATTTTCCCTGTATTTGTTTCAGTCGGAGAATCACAATATAAAGTTTTAAAACCCTACTCGAATTTGAATATTAAGGCGGATGTCTATCTTATACTTTTTAGGTTAAATACTCTAAAATTGCAGATTTGAGCTATCTTTGGGCTTTATAATTTGGTCATGTTAAAAAAAAATATAAGCCACAATATTTCTAGAACCTCAGATTACACATATGGATTTGTGATATTGTGAATTTAAGTAATAACATGGTTGAGATGTTTTTTTGAAAATGTCTCTTGAAATGCCGACCGCTGGGTTTGAATGATTATTTCGGATTTATTGCTTTTCTCGGTGTATATACTAATATGTTATAATAAAATTGAGAATGGAAATGGGGAATATGTCAAAGAGACAACAACCCGACCAAAGAGCCGAATGCCACCAATGGGTCTTCATACAGTATATACCTTCTGTTTTAATCATTTTTTTCAATGTGTGCCAACACGAGTTTTTCTTTTCTCGATTCTGTTTCAAACACTTCAATAATAACTATCTTTGCCTTTGGTTGAAACTTTGTTTAACTTGCTTTCAGTAGCTGAAACCATATATAAACATCCTTAATAATAACTTTTAATTTTTAATTTTTATTTGTTTTGTTTTCGACGACAATAAAATGATTGGATTCCGTTTTTGAAGCGGTCATCTGTGAACCCATATACAAATGGATTTGAAACGTTATTGATAAGAAGAAGTCTTATTCCAATCTGATACACAGTTAATTCTAAGTAACTTAGTCCTGATTTAAACTCTATGTCCAAACTTATGACACAGCTCAGCACTAAATATGGAGCAAAAACTATTATGAAAATTCCTGTTATAACGATAAGCGACCGAGTTGTTTTTAAAGTTGATAATCTCAAAGTTTTCATTGTTCCTGCTGATAAATTTCGGTACAACTCCACATGTTTACTACTGTTTGAAATGTTTGACTGAACAGAGTCTAGCCTCGCTATAGTAGAAATATTTTGACGCATGTCTTCGGACAACTTCCGGCTTTCTCTAATATTTGCGTGACGACTAAATACAACTTTTGATATTGAAAAATTTGCACAAATTAAAATTGTCGAACATATAATGAACACGATGATCATAAATCCTAAGTATGAATATAAAAACAAGGTTCCATGAAAGTCATCGTTAATGAAACACATATATCCAGTGGCGTTGGCGCCATTTCCTTCTAGACTGACAACGTGGTGTCCATTAAGAAAAAACATTGGAAGTGTAATAATAAGAGACAAGCACATGGCTAAGACACAAAGCCTTTTTGATGTCAATACGGTCATTTGGGTTTTCATAGGGTTACAAACTCGTCGGTACCTTTCTAAAGCAATACAAACAAGTATAGATATCGATGACATCAAGAGAAACGCATTATTAAATCTGAACAATCTGCAACCAACTTCGTTATAAAATGTATACGGTTTTGTCAAATCTAATATTTCCATTGGCATGTGCACTACACATGCAACCAAATCCACGATTGACAGAGCTATAACAAATACAGTATACGTGGAAGGTTTCCTGTCAGCGCGAGAGAATAGTATCAACACGTGAATGTTACCAATAATTCCAATAAAACTTAGGACTCCAATGTAAATAATGCAAGGAATTCTCTGTAGAATAGCTTCATTTGTCATACGAGAAATTATGTCTTCCTCTGTTTCCGTGAAATTCATCACTTTTTACATCTATTTAGCCTGGAAAAAAAAACAATCAAACATTTACTTAATCAGTTGATAAATGACATACTTCAGAATAATACTGCATGCTCTACATACATACAGTGATTTTAGAAATTGAAGTGTATTACAAACACATTTTTTGTTTCTTTGCACAACCCATTAGCATTGTACTGATTGGTCTTTAATACGTATAACATGCAAAAAAGAGGCAAGATTTTTATTGTTTGACTTATGTTATTAACGCTTTGTCTCCTAATGTTTCCCTTGCACTTCAATATAAAGGAATGTGTAATGAGAGGTAGGAACAAATGATACTTTGTGTACTTTTGTTTCTGTTTACATACATTTGATGATACAGAATGTGTGTTAATGCTTTCATGAATTATATTACGTAAGGATCATGTTTATTTCGATTACTCTGAATACATCATTGTTTCATTAACATTACTTGCTATATTTTCTCTTTAGGGTCATTCATTGTCTCTGTAATTTGACAATTTTATTTTATTTTTTTATTTTTTCACAATATTCGACGTATTACAAGAAAGATGCATATCGGTGTTGCACTTCAATGTTGTTTCGGAACGACATCATCTTCTCTCTCTCTGTGAACACAGTCTCTCATTTTCTCCTTGAACATTTATCTCTCTCTCTCTCTCTCTCTCTCTCTCTCACACACATTTTTTTTAACAAAGTAAGTTAATCAATGCTTCACAATTAGTCTGATATTGAAACAAGATCAAACTTAATTTTCCTTTCAAGGCCCAGAACGAGAAAACCAAATAGAGCAGAATTGTATTATCTATATAAATAGTACTTTGTGAAGCCACAGTAGATTATTCTTGTGAAATTAATAAAGCATTTCTTTGATGTAATGCGTCATCAGAGAATAGCTTTTATATAAAATTAGTTTCTTTCACCATTTTATTACAACCGTAAGAAATCTTGTCTGCAATTATGTCAATTTTTAAGACACATTTCTTTTTAAATTTCTATAAATTGTGTTGCAACGTTTAAATTTCTTGTAATTATAAAAAATATATACGATCTAGTTTGATATTAGTTTCTCTGTTTTGTCATAGGTTGTTGTCAATTAACAATATATATTGCTTGATTGTTGATTGCTTACTGGCATTTGACAAGTATTTCATGAATATTCAGTACGATAAAAAAAAATCCATAAAGAAATCAAATTAACAAATAATGGTGGATTGTTGGGGAAATTGTACTGTCACTACACTGAAAAGAAAATATGTTTTTCTGTTTTGCAACAAGCCACATGCGGTCCATCAAAGACTTATTTCAAGTTTTATTGAACACGAAGAGAGCATGACACTTTAACAAATGATCAACCATCGATCGGATTTGAATCTGCTATCAAACCGGACGTGGCTGTATATTTACACATCCATAATATATACATACACGCGGATGATGATGGTGATGATGAAAACAATAAAGAATTCGGAAAATATTTAAGAATAACATCTTCATGACTAAGATAAGGAGGGAATATTGTATATTTTGTTTCGAGTTGGCACATCAATCTATCGTCTGAATTTTATTGTACTGTGTACATCATATCTTGCAGTAGCATATTATGTAATTAATGCATAAACAAGTACAGCAAGTTTTAACAATTAAACAATCGTGCTTTTGTGGAGAATATCGTATAAGAACTCTAAAATCAAATCATTTGAAAAACAGCAGTGAAAAAGTAAAAGGTATGGAATCTTTTTAAACATTTGACATGAAATACATAATAGAGCAATTAGCAAATGTACCTGACCTACTTTTCATGCATTACTTGTACACGAGATGTTGCCGTTAAACACGCACCTTATTGGAAGTTGTAATCGACCTTCATCAAAGTCGTTCAAGTATATAATTATAAAAACCTTTATTGAGTCTAAAATTGAAAACGCTATATACAACTTTCCGTTAATAGTAAAAATAGATAGAAATATAGCGTTTCTGATTGAAGTTTTCTGCGATAAAGACTTATCAAGATTAAAAAAAATGACATTTATTAGATCTTTAACGCCATAATGATAATGATCAAATGGACGCTACGAATGTTTTTTAAACAAATCAATCAGTCGATCATTAGAAAGATACGTAAGATATGTTGGTGTTTGTCTTCCTTTTACAGTTTCTATTTTCGGACAAATCAATCATCAGGTATAGGTATAGGTGTAATCCGAAATTCTTGTAAAATATTTTCGATTTCACAAGCTTCACTTCGTTTACAACTATATTCAAACCAGAAGTCCGCTTACGGTATTGAGAATATAGTGTCAGGAACCCAGACCGGGTATAAGTAGTGGTGCAAGATATATACTACCGACCTATACCTACTTTTGCATGAATATGTATCAAAAAAATGTGGCGTACACGTCAGACATGACACGCAAATAACTTAAAGACATCTATTAAGAGTTCAACGTACAGTTTTCAACAAAAGGCAGGTGTTTTTGAAAATGACAATCTCTAATTCGATCCGATTGAGAAAAACAAAATTGTGAATAGTTTGAACAGAGACTTTCAAAGATATTCAATCAATAAAAAAACATTAGACTTTCTGGTTGTGGACTAGGCACATAAACATGTAGCTTTGGTCAAACTAATTTTTGCATAGTTTACTTATGATATACAACCTCCCCCATTCATCTTTACATATTAATTATTTACAATTCTAGTGTAGAATAAAGGTATGCGTAGATATTAACATTGGCAATTGTCGCGTAACGTCCAGGGGCTAATATCACAGGTATTTTACGGTGCGATAAAAATTCAACACGCGAGCCTTTTTTTTTTTTAGATGGGAACAAGAATTCTTTGAAATTCGTTTCGTGACCAAACATAAGGTTCGAAGGTATTTAAAAAGTTAAAAGCTACTTCGAATCTGTTTATGTGTGCATACCCTCATTAATTGGCTTTAATAACACAATCTTCCACCGAAAAAAAGAAGCTTTTAAAGGTGTCAGACCACCAATTCAAAATCCCTATCTATTCAACCAAATTTTGCAATTTTCACAGCTTTCTAAATATTTTACCTTAAGTTTAACTTCATAGAAACCAGGTATATTCTTAATTGTACATGTATCACCTTTATACATGCCAATTTGCAACCCATGTTTAAAGTCTTTTAAGAAAAAAATGCCCATCACAAAATAAGTACTACTAAAAATAACCCCTGGTTTTCTGGAAATCTAAAATTAGTATACTATGGAGCGCATTGATCCTCAATTTTTAATGCAAACTCATAGACAAGTAAATTTTACTCAAAATGGTCTAAATATATTTCTCTTTCACCAAAAGTTTCATTTCTGCAAATTTGTTGGTTAGTTTAAGTAAACAATGACATCAAAAGCACTATTTTGTGTCAGAGTAGGGCTACTTTTACATAGGTTCTAAATTGGAGGGAGTGAATTGGTGGTCTGACACCTAAAGAGACAAACAAGTTTATCAGAAGTCTTTTATTTTTCTTTACTCTTAATCCTTGGTCAATTTATGGTAAAAAAAAATCCTATCTAAGCATAGTGCGACTTGTATTGCAAAATTCACAGCTCAATTTAAACTGGCTGTAATGTATGACTTTAAAAGAAAATACTTAAAAATTTAATTTAAGACTACAGAAACATAAACTTTCAATATCAAGATCAATTTTGATATATTTTTCCTTGTTTATCCTTCTGCTTTAAAGACTTTCCACAATTTTTACAATGAGTTTAGTAAAAAATCAAAGGTATTGAAGTGTCAAAGAATATTGACCCCCTTTTTTTCACCAGGTGTCAGTAATGGTCCATTAATTGATCAATAGTGCATTTATGGCCATAAAACTATTTTAATTCACTATCAGTCAATAAAATTTCAAGTAGAAAACTTTCATTTGAGACAATTAATGGAATTGTGGTGAGTTTATGCAGTGTTTACATTAGGCTATGCTATCTGCCAGATACATGGAATGACGCAATGATAGAACGAGTAAAAATCAAATAATTTCATAAAATCTTCATGACGACAATTTGTTTTGGTAGTAAACAACCTATGTTTTAATGTTTAATACCACAGACACAATTTACTGTGCATTCATAACAATTTACGACATTTTTTTTTATATGAATACATATTGTAAGGGTGGAAAAAGCTAACAATAGCACAATTTGAGGTTTAAGGCTCTAATTTTCCAGAATGTGACTTTTTGCCAAAAAAAGGTTGAAATGTGGCTACTTGCATTACAAATGATCAGTTAAGACAAAAAAATAGTTTTCTTAGTTTTTGGTTTCACCGCTTTTCGCAATAAAGGTGTCACACCACCAATTCAAAATCCCTATCTATTCAACCAATTTTTTTCCAATTTTCACAGCTTTCTAAATATTTAATCGTAAGTTTAACTTCATAGAAACCAGGTATATCCTTAATTGTACATGTATCACCTTTATACATGCCAATTTTCAACCCATGTTTAAAGTCTTCTAAAGAAAAAAATGCCCATCACCAAATAAGTACTACTAAAAATAACCCCTGGTTTTCTGGAAATCATAAATTAGTATACTATGGAGCGCATTAATCCTCAGTTTTTAATGCAAACTCATAGACAAGTAAATTTTACTAAAAATGGTCTAAATATATTTCTCTTTCACCAAAAGCTTCATTTCTGCAAATTTGTTGGTTAGTTTAAGTAAACAATGACATCAAAAGCACTATTTTATGTCAGAGTAGGGCTACTTTTACATAGGTTCTAAATTGGAGGGAGTGAATTGGTGGTCTGACACCTAAATAAAGACAAGTTTTGAACCGGTTTTCTTTTTTTTTTCTTTTAATAAGTTCTGTCTACTGTTCATTAACTCTACCTTGTATGGTGTAATCAAGGGTAACTTTTTTGTGCTGTTTATACTACATAACGTATTGTTGGGGACATTCTGAATAAAAATAATTATAAAAAAAAATTAATATAAGACATTGTCCTGAACGAGTTCGGAGTAGATTGTATATTTTTTTTCATATTACTGTCATGATATTCATAGTGTATAAAGAAGCTTAAATTATCAA